CCCCCCCCCCCCCCAGACATGGGGCTCCAGCTGGCTGTTTATCTGTGCAACACGCCATACAAGATAAACCAGCTCTAAGGTGGAATAAATCAGCGTGTGCAGGCCGGGGGGATGCCTGCGTGGGGGGCCACTGTGGATGTGGGGGCACGACGGGGCCCAGGCAGAGTGCGCCCCCCCCCCTCATCAGTACTGGCCCGGCTGCATTTTGACACGCTTTCGAATACACGAGAATGCTAATGAGTCTGCTTACATCTCTGGGAATTCGGTAAATATGTCAAAAGTCTGCGTCTGAGCATCGGAAATGCGACTGTTTTAAAATGCTGACTCACAGCCAAAACAAGCGGGTAAATTTATTCTGCAATTAACCGACGACCCAGAAGTGTTGGCTTAATATAAACAAATCAAGTTAATAACCTTTCAAACATGTTTTTCATCAGAATCCGAGGGTTATATCATCTTAAAGATTTCTTTAACGTTTTAGAGATTCCTAGGCACAGCTCTGCGAAACCGCCTGGGTGCTGAACTGTCAAGATTTCCGAGCTTCGCGAGTCTGCATCTGGAAGGGCCACAAGTAAGAAGGCAGCGGCACGTGAGGCAGCGGCACGTGAGAATGGGCCATTGTGCCGCGGCCTGTCTGGAAGCCATTTCCCCGAGTGCACCCTGTACCATCATCTGGAGCCCAACTCACCCCATGTGGAACATGTTTATTGTTCTTTGTGTCAAGCAGGCCTACAGACCCTCACCCCCCCTCATTCTCCCCCAGCCCCCCGCACCTTTTCGGGTCCACTTGTTATTACAACTCTACATGGGCAATTTTCTTATCAGGGCGTTTATACAAACTTAACCTCCAGCCGATACTTTAGCGACACGAAAGGGCAACTTAAAGCCAATAAAAAACAAACAGGGCGGAGGAATTTCGGGACCCCTTTCGGCGGGGACGGGGAGCACAGGCGCGCCGGCGGAGATCAAAGTCTCGGATCTCCCCGTCATTCCTTTCCAGGCCCCTACTTTTATTTTATAGCTGGAAAGGCCAGGAAGTAGCATGTATTATAACCAAATGCGTCAGAATACGCTCCACATTCCGGCCAGATTCCCAGGAACAGCTTAGATTCACTCAGATGAGCATCAGAAAAAAGGAAGAGCTGAAAATCTGACCAGGAAAATTTACATAATAACCATAAAAATGGGCAAAAATATGCAGAAAGCAAAATGTATAAACTATAAAATATCAGATCCCTCACTATAGATATATTTTTATTCTAATTTATAAAACTTTTCCCAACAATAAAAGGTGCACTAATGTCAGAGATATCAGATATTACAATAACTTAAAAACAGCATGAAGGAGAACTAATCGCATTTTCTAGAGCCAAAAATATACCTATGAACGAGGTGCTTTTGGTTAAATAGTCGAGACCCAGTTTTGCATGCGATCGCTGGACATGCGACGAAGGTCTGCTGCTAAATGAGCTGCTTTCGGAGGAAACGCCTTCAGGCATCTGTTTAGGAACCATGACGGTTTCACATCCTTCTCTGCACATGAGGAATAATTACAGCACTGACAGAATAAAAAAAAAATCAACATTTATTTTCCTGAAAACCCCCAACACAAAAACAACCAAAATACACAAAACACATCTGTGTTGGTGGGTTTAAAAATTTTTTATTAAATGAAACCTAAAAGTGGCCGGGTGGGGGGGCTCCGGGGGGGCTAACCGGAGACGCTTGAGCATCTTCAGAAGCAGGTGTAGTCGCCACATCCTCCCTATAGCTGTCTATGCTTCTCGTCGACATCGGGCGGTTCTGCATCAAACGTCGCTCTGACAGTCATCGTGATCTCTGCCTCCCAGAATAGAACTGTGGTCCACGCTGAGGAATCATTAAACAGGAAAGGAAGAGGGCTGGCGAACGCACGGGCGTTTCGTATGGCTGGGGCTCTCGGCGGGGGGACGGCGCAGTCACCGAGAGTCACTCAGCGCGGCCGCCTCCTGACGGCTCTGTGAGTGTTTAGCGTCAGCGGGCCTGCAAGGCTCCCGCCAAACACACAGCGACACTCAATAAGGCCGCTAGCTTTCGTATATGTGAACACAGAAACCGAACACAGAAAACGAACACATTTTCAGGGCTTCATAAGA